TTGTTACTAAGGAGACAGAAAGCACACAGAGATTGCCGTCTACCAAGAGGATTTGTTTGAAGGTTTGGCTAGGATTAATTAAACAAAAGTGGTTTATTATAACTTCACAGAGCTTGATGATTTTAGACATTTATAAAATATTTAATTGATAATAACAACAAAGTGACTAAGACATAGGTTAGAGCGACCTGGTGAGGAGAGTCAATTGTTGTTAAAATGATGAGGGCAATCTTCAACTCTTTCTCACCTCCTAGCTCTTACCCCACCATGTGCTTACCACTCACTGCTGCACCTGTCTTATTCTCCCCAGTCTTCTCAGGTCTGGTGCTGCCTCTTGTCTGCTTAGACCTAGACGTAATTTTGCCCAGTATGTTATGATCAACAGTGTCTTATTCCTCGTTATTCTACATTAAAAGATAGCATATTGTACACCTTTCAGCTTCTACTCTCCCATATTTCAAAGCCAATGATTATTCAGACTTCTAACACCATAGATCGGGTTTGTCTAATGGTGTGATTGCTTTTATTTTGTCTGTTTTATTTCACTCAACATGAGATGTATGGTAATAGATCACTGACCCCAATTGACATTTAGGAGCCCACTATGATGGTCAATTCTGATTGTCAATTTGACTGGATTAAGAGATGCCTACCAGGTTAGTAAAGAACATTGCCAGAAGTGTCTGGGTGGAACCCTTCTCCACTGCTGGTGGGAGTGCAGACTGGCGCAACCACTGTGGAAATCAGTATGGAGATACCTCAAAGAACTAGGGCTAGAGGTCCCATTTGACCCAGCTATTCCCCTGCTGGGTATCTTCCCCAAAGAATTAAAAGAATCATACCACAGTGATATTATGCACACCCCTGTTTATAGCTGCACAGTTTGTAAACAGCCCAAGTGCCCATCAACTGGAAACTGGATAAAGAAGATGTGGGTTTTTTATAAAATGGAGTGCTACTCAGCCATAAAGAACAAGAAACTAGAGACATATATAGCTAAATGGATGCATGTTGAGGCCATACTCTTAAGCAAAATAAATAGGACACACATGTGTAAAAACCGAATAGTTTCTCTAGTGTGAGAAACTGAAAATGTAAATAAGGATTAAAATGAATAACTGATAGTTTGAAATAGGAAGAAAAGGTCTAAAGGGGTAGGGGAAGTGGGAGGGGAAGGGGAAAGGAAAGAAGGGAAAGGAAAAGTTATGGGAAAAGGAAAAAATGTAAACAAAGTCTTTGTAAATAGGGAAGGGGGGAGGGAGGGCAGGGAATGGGGAAAAAATAAGAACCAAGATACATCATGTACAGGTACAAGCACCCAATGATAAATGTAAATGTACTGTATACCTAAAATGTACCAATAAAAGAATTTAAGCAACAAAAGAAAAAGAAAAAAAGAAGTGTCTGGGTGGGTCATGGGGTTGTTGACTATATCTGGTCTCTGGTCCCTTTCTATCTGAGACTCTTCCCCTATTATTCTCTGCTTCCTAACAACCATGAACTAAGCAGCTTCACTCTGCCAAATATTTCTGCCATGTTGTTTCTACATTGGAGCCAAGCAATTATGGACTGAACCCTCTGAAACCATTAACTCTATCCTCTCCTCCTTTAGGTTGTGGGTGTCAAATAGTTTGTCCCACTGACAGGATAGCTGGCCAGTGCATCCACTATGTGAATATAGCACAATATATTTAGTTATTCTACCTAGGTTAAATATCTGAATATTTTCCATTTTGGAGCTATGATCAATGGAGCTACTGTGAATATTCTAATTCATGTTTGCGGGAAACTAAATTTATAGATTTCATAAGATCAACATCTAGGACTGTAATGAATGGGTCATTAGACATGTGCAAATTTAGTCTTTTTCCAAAGTGGTTGTACCATTCTCCAGACAAGATTTACATTCATCCATTAAAGGCTTAACAGTCTGCACAATATTTTCAAAAGAACATGACTAAAATCTAAGTTTCTCCTGATGCCTAGCCTGGAGCTTTTTTCCATTCAGTAAGTTCTGATCCTTCTTTCCATCCTCCCTCTCCTCAATATTACCTGCCTTTACCCTATAGCTCCTAGCTAGGCATACATGAGCCATCCTCCCTCAGGTAATTTTTATTTTAAAGTGGGTTACAGGAGACTCCAAATAATTTTAATTGTGAGACTTTCAGGTTTCATAAAAGATCAGTCTGTCAGAAGAAATTGGAAAGAAGAGAGATAATGTCAGTCACAGAAAAGTGTACAGCAGAATTATTCAAATCCCAGATGGCTGTGGATCTGAATAAGCCAACCCTGATGAAATACAACAGAAGATAGAAAGCTCATCTTCTATCACGTGAACTTCAGGGCAAATACATTGGTCACCATTAAGCACTGACTTCTCCAAACTGACACATGGAAGCCAATAGGAAGCCTCAGAAGTCAGATTAAACCCTTGTGTGTCTTACCCACAAGGCCAGGAATCTGCTTCTGGTTTCTTGAAGTGTCTGAGCTCAAAGCGTGAAGAATCTGAACAGGAAAGATTAAGAAAGTTGACAAGAGGAAACCAAACCCCAACTTCCTGATAGCATCCCAACTGTTCCTGGATTCTGTATCATAAATAGAGCAAATGATTTTTATGTGTTTAGATTATTTTCAATGCCTGGATTTGAATTTAGCTGAAGTTAAGGGTACTAATTAATTGTGAATCACTCCAATTCTTGAGTATAAGGCCTCTTGAGCTTAATGTGCAAATTTATGTAAAAATAATGTGAAAATTAGAAATGCATTGGCACATTTTTTTAACCAGAACTGTAGCACTCTGTCTCATCAAGCCGACTGCTCATTTACAGGTTGTCTATATGCAAAGCATTCTGCCCCTGGGAGCCTAAAATCTCCTTAGCAAGTCATCTGAAATTTGAGAAGAGCTTTGTTCTGAACCTGCTTCCTGTTCTCTTCACTTTCTCTTCTCTTCTTCCAGCACTGTGAGCAAGAAAGCTACGTCTGGATCACACTTGGGCATCTCAGCCAACAAGCGAAAACCGAACCTTGAGGCTCACCTGGCCGACCCACCTCAGCTCAGAGGCAGATGACTGAATATTCCTTCCAGTCTTGGGCCTTTTCAGTGTAAGAGAACTTTGCAAATCCCAATCCTCCCAGCCTGCAGGATTCCCATGTCCTTTGCAGACAAGACTTGCTCAAGGAAAGGGGCTACTTGCTCCTAGATCCTGGGCTACTTCTCTGACTTTTACCTAAATTTGAAAAGTAAGGCAGAGTGATGGAAACTGATAACCCTGCTCAGAGTCATCAGCTTCACCCTACCTGGGGAAAAGAGCCAGCGCTCACAGATACTCATATGCAGCAGCAGGGGGAGTAGTCGGCTCACCTGCCCAGCGGCCTGCAGGCAGCTGTCGAGGAAGTGAGCCAGTCAGTGCTGGAGATGCTGGGAGAGACCAGCAGGGCAGGGTCAGTCATTCCACACCCAGGACTGAGAGAGAAATCAGCGCTACCTTAAGGAAAGGTTCCAAATAGCTCAATCTGAGACTAAAGAAACATCATCCCCAGGCCCCCAGCCACTGGGCTGTGACTCTACTAACTCCTATGCCCTGTAGCCCACTTGATGACCATACCTCAGGTTGATTCACATGATAGGAAGGTTTATCTACTCACAACGAGTGGGTCTGCACAGGCTGTTTCTGGAGGCCAGGCTGGGGAGGCCAACTGTTGTCACATAGATAGTCTATGGCTTGGATATTCACAGTGAGGTTCCCAGATCAGCAGGGTCACCACTGACTGTGAGCTTGTTAGAAAATAAAGCCCACCCCAGCCTCCCTGAATCAGAAGCTGCATTTTAAAAAGATTCGGGGATGCTGAGTTCTGGGCAGCTCATTCTAAAGTTTGACTTCAAATCTCTACCAAGTCAAACCAACCATTAGCTCCCCAAAGGTGGAAGGATGAGTTCCAACGTTCCTAGTCCTCAACTGGGGGCCTTGCAAGAACCACTTCTTTGCCTTAACCCCCCCCTCTGGTTCTCATCTCAAATGAGGATGATGATCCTACTTAATCTAAGATGAATAACTGGAAGGATAAGTTCAAATTTGTCTTACAAAGTATGAATCACAATTGAAATAGTATTCACCTGTATTTCTGTGCCTGACTCAATATTGTGTCCTGACTCAATAACTGGGTTATAAACACCAGACAGCATGACAATCTCTGGACTTTTTTGTTATGTTCCCTGTATACCTAAGTACAGCGTTCCACCCATAATGAGGGAGACTTTTGACATGAATAACAATCCATCTCTCTTGGTGTTCCTTCCTGCCATAAAATTTTTCTAATTCCTATTCCTGACTCTAAGCACAAAAAGATCCTGTCACTTTGACCTAATCCTCTGAGGTTCATCCCTCTAAATAATTGTATTGTCTCTAGCTGTAAAGCACTTTGTTGCTATGGGAATGCTTGCAAAATTGCATGTGTAAGAAATTGAGGGTGGTTCTAGAAATCAGGCTTCTTCCCACCAGAAATCAGTCTGTCTTCCCCAAGTGTCCCTGCCCCATAGGTTCATAGCAAAGCCTTAGAAGTTTCTCAAACTTGCAGATATTTTATGAACACTACAGCCCAACACATGAAAGCAGAATGATAGGAACAGTAGGAAACCCACTGAGGTAGGAATTTGGAGATCTTGGTTCTAACTCAGTCTGACTGACATCTAATTTGTAATATTATGTGGCATGGGGTACATGGCTTCTCAGAGCCTCAGTCCTCTGTATTTAAAGGAAGATAAGATGAGAATGGTAAGTACCCATTCCTACAATTCAATCTATAGAAAGCAGGTTTTAATTTTCACTTAACTGAAATTACTCAACAAAACTTCCCATCATTAAACATTAACACATCTATTTATATAGGTGCACAGCTCATAATCATTCCAATAAATGATTAATTACAACTTTCTGTTTGGACCAATAATTGTGCTGGACTTTTATGATTCATCATTTGCACTATGTTGTAATGTTGCCTCTCAAAACTGAAATACTAGCATTTTTTTTTATTGCTTCTCTAAAGTGTCTTTGAAAGAGACACCTAGAGCCACATGCTTAGAGAGGATTTAAAAGTTTAATGTGGTGGAAGTAAGCATTATTTATCTCATCTGGCTGCTGAGACAGGAGCAGTGAACATGGTGGGCATGGCCATTGGAGAAGAGAGCTTCAAAATGAATAACCCTTCAGTCTGTTCACCCAATGCATCTGTCTGCAAAGGTGCATCATGTGTGGTCGCTGAGGAAAATGTCAATGCCATTCTCAGCACAGTCATGAGTACTGTACTGACCACCCTGCTGGCCTTGGTCATGTTCTCTATGGGATGTAACGTGGAGATCAAGAAATTCCTAGGGCACATAAAGCAGCCATGGGGCATCATTATTGGCTTCCTCTGTCAGTTTGGAATCATGCCCCTCATGGGCTTCATCCTATCACTGGTCTTTGGCATCCTCCCCATCCAGTCTGTGGTGGTGATCCTCATGGGCTGCTGCCCCGGAGGAACAGCCTCCAATGTCCTGGCCTATTGGGTGGATGGCGACATGGACCTAAGGTAAGAAATCTATCTCTTGAACTATTATGATTGCATTGGGTTCATCTTTGAGAACCCCAGGGCATTCTGAGTGTACATCTGGTCTACTATTAATCCTAGGTATGACCAAGAAATTAAGTGGAAAAGAATAAACGTGTTTGAGTGCTTTTCCACGTAGCTTCTTACCTGTTACCACTGGGGGGCTGTAGTTTATATTTGTGCTTTTAAATCAAAATTATATAACAAGAAGTTGCATAATTGCTGGTTATCTCTGGAGAAAGCTTCAAAATTTGTCCAAAAAGGAATCTTTTCTAAGCCACAAGCCATAACTGGGAAGTTGATGAGGATGTCAGCACACAAACCTGAACTCTAACTAGGTGCCAGGCATTAAAGACTATATGAGACAATAGTCAGTTCCACTATAAGGCACTTATTTGGGCAAACTCTTTCTTGTTATAAAATCTGAGGAAGAATTTATAATTTGCTTTACCTCTACTGGCACTAAAAGAGGTGAAAAACAAGCTTATGGTTGTTTTTTTAACTATGCATACTGTACTATAAAATAAACAGGAAATGGTTTCTCTGCTTCCCACAGAGTAATCAAGATTGCAGTGTTTGCTCAGTTCATCCATGTCAATAGTAACTAAGGCTGAGGACAGGAGAAAGACTAATACATATAAGAAGTAGCATTAATGAGACTAGCCCAAAACGTTTAGGGCTGAAAGTTGAACAGATAAGGCTCTTTTTCCTTACTGCATATTCTTCATTTGTGGTGAAAGGCATACATTTTTGCAAACTATCCAAGTGTTAATGCTACACGTGCTTATTAAATACTGTAGTGTAAGCAATCAGCTCTGTTAAGCCCCAGCTACTGTGTGCAGAAGACAGAAGCTCCAAGTGTAGATATGCTACTGTTGGACTGATCAAGTGCTTAGCAGCAATTAGGAACCTGCTATTTCATCTCTACTCGTTCTCATTTCCCCAGAAGCTGTAGACAAGTCTTACGCACTGCGTGTTTTTGTAGTATTCATTTTTGCATAAGGAAATACATAGTATCTGCCCTGCAACAGATGTCTTTGTAAGAAGAGCCCTGTAAAGGAACTTAGGATAGCAAGAACTGTTCAGATTCACTTCATCTGTGAACCACAGTCGAGCAGTAAGTTCTTCCTAGACTTCAGTTTACTGTGACCTGAAGAGGCAAGGATTCTAAAAGTTGGCACCGAGCAAACTTAGGGGAGCGAACAGGAGGAGGCTTTGACCTCCACTAGCCCACTGTTACACATCCATAAGTTTTCAAGCATCCAGTCTCATGCTTTTAACAAATGACCCCATACCTGAATGTAATACCATAAATGTGGTCATTTCCTGAGATAGAAAGCAGTACATGTGATGCCGGATATTTGGCTGTTGGAATGGGTTCACTTTTTCAGGCTATATTTTAGCACCAAAATTAATGTTTTTACAATGACTGTTATCACTGAGAAAATGTTAATCATGCTACTATGTAAGATGACCTTATGCATGCATTGTATATGTTAGAGGGAAATGTTCAATTATTTCTTTAAAACAAATTCAGAGAGTGAAACTTCAGACAGTGGGCAATAGTCTTCCAAAACATTTTATTCTTCTTGAGAAAGTACTAGGATAATTTAAGTCTTAGGACAATGTATTTAGATACAATCCTATCCACCACTTATATTTCCAATTCCGTGCTCTGAACATTATCTTCTCCATCTCCACTTGAGCTCCAAAGATAGCAGTCAAGACAGGCTGATCTATACTAACAGATACCTGTGCCCTTGAGCTAATACCACACAGTTCCGCCTGGCTTAAACTTACTTAGATGTGGTTCCTGGGAGAAGAAACCAAATCATTCTTCCCTCCTCTTATCATGTTTTCTCAGATGACAGCCATTGCATTTTAGTCTCTCATGATTTTAAATAAATAAACAAACAAGCAGTTACCTGTGGCCTTTGAAATACAGACAGTGACATTTCAGCTCCTTCTCTGATGACTTCCAGCCTGGAAATTGGTCATTTCTGAAGCTGATCAGTGCACAAATACTTTCACCTGTGAAAGCTGCCCTGTGGCCATCACGAGCACAAAACAAGTCAAGGAGAAATGAAGGTGACTTTTCAGGTGGACTTGCTGCTGGCCAAGGCCCACTGAGCAGGAGAAAGCCTACCTCCTCTGTGTCTGTGGTGTCCCCAGATAGCAAGGAAATATCTCATCTCTCCAGCCTTAGTGATGGCCTCCACCGCCCCGCCCAGACCTCTTGTTTTCCTCTCTTTGACTCTTCGGGGGAATCCATTCTCCCATCTCTTTTGCTCAATTCTCCCCCAAAACCTTCAGTGCTGCCTACTTTCTACACTCCTTATTTTCTAGACTTCTTGTTTCATAGCTTTTCCTATCATGTCCTTTGTCATTGGCCAAACACTATTACATTTTTCACCTTTCAGTTCAATGTTCATTGATCTTTTAGCTGTTCAAAGTGCCTGAGCTTCTGGATTGTATCACAAGCATCCCCTCCCACTTCAACCATATAAACATCCGCCATTGACTCTTTCCCTTGTCCTCCCTCAAAGTAACCAAGCTTTGTTTCTCTCACATAGCATTTATTTTTATTTTAGCAGCGAATGTATATCAGGCACTATTGCATGCCAGGCACTCATGGTACTAAGTACTCAAAATACTTCGGTATATTTTATCTTCCAAAGAATCCTCTGAGATCAGTACTGTCATTTTCTTCATTTGGCAGATGACAAACTTAAGGTTCATAACCTTGACCAAGGTCATTGACAGAGTGAATCTTCATATCATCGCTGGAATCCAGACCCAGTTACTTACCTCTACATTAGTCTGCATTATTTGCTCTGCATTATTTCTATATATAGAGATATATGATACTTCTAGTATCATCTAGATATACTTCTTTTAAGGCTTCAAACTTGCTATTTCACTTCTAATATGATTATAATCTTTTGCATTCTTTATCCCTGATTTCACTGAATTCTCATTTATTAACTTCTTTTATTCCCCCTAGACATACAAAAAGGTTCTGCCTTCCAGTAAATAAAGATAAATCCAAGAATCAAAGCCGAAAGATTTTTATTTTCTTATGCACTGATATTTTTTTCTCATTCCAATATAAATTCATGGTAGTATTTCTATTTTTGACATGCATGCCCTTTGTAGAATTTGAAATTTTCCAAGTAAAATACATTTTTATTTTGTTAATTCATTCCCATCTTCTTAATTAAAATTCTCTAACTGTGAGTTGTTTGACCCTCATTTTGAGTGGCTTGACTTTGTTCTTGTTACTAGTTTAGAAAGAATGAACCTACAGCCACCTTTTGTCTTGTCTTTCTGTGACTTCCTATTGTCTATGTCCATTAACCCTAAAGCATTTCTCTTCCAACTTCTAACCTGCATTTCCTCATGGTTTTTAAAGAAAGTTCTCCCACCAAACTCCATGCAACTCCACACAACTTCCTAAATTGTCTGAACAATAATTCAGAATTGAAGTTTTCACAAAGAAATTTAAAAGCAAAACAAGGAAAAAATATGACTTCCTGCTAAAAATTGTTCTACCAGTTAAAAACAAGCAGTCCTGGATCTTCTGTCTCCGCACTTCGATGTGGGTCGGGAGTCCACCCTCCCACTCAACCCTCTCACTGCAGGGAACATGCTGGATGATCAGGGCCAAAGGGGTTTTATTATGGAAATAAGTCTAACTCTAAACATAAGAGAATGGCAAGAGGGAAAGGAAGAGAGGAAAAAGCATTTAGAAACTTCAGTACTTTAATTATGAGTAGGACAAAGCACTATTAATAACAAATGCACTTATTTTCTAGTACAGGACTGCCTTTGCATCCTATTTTTATCTAAATTAAGTTCATCCATGATGATAATAGATTGAACTTCTCAGAAAGTGTTTTAAGTACATCTTCCAGCATTGGTTTTCATTAAAATATTTTAGCTCTACTAATACAGATTTTTTTTTACTCATTAAGTTTATTTTACCTGAATCCTTTAAATCCATTTTAAGTGAATTCATTACACATTTTTTTAAAAGATTAATAGGAAAGTTAAGCTCCCTGACAGACTTTGCCTCCATCCTGTAGTTTGTCAAAACTATGCAAATTTAACTATTTACACTGAAATTACATTCTTTATCTTCATCTACTTTACTTAATAGAATAGATAGTTGTTATTTGGAGGAAAGCTCAGGAAGTTTAAATATTTAGTATTTTCCTTCAAGTACATAAGTAATACCCATGAGAAATGACTACTCTAATAATCTGAATGCCACAGTTGTCCAGAAGAGTCTTTCAGAAGAATTGCTGTTTTTGCAGATGCCATATTATAGTAGAAGACAAAACTTATGCACTTGTGGTCATACAAATAATAACAGCAAGTACTTCGCAGTGAGAGCTTGTGCTATTCTACATACCGGACACCATTAGCTCATCACTGGTTCCTCCTCAGCCTGTGAGACAACAATGACTATGATCTTCATTTCAGATAAAGAAATCTGGCAAAGAGAAGTCAAGAAAATCCCCCAGAGCCACATACTAAATGGCACCATGTTTTCCCAATCTGGTCAGCAAGTGGCTTTAGAGGCCAAGCCAAACCTACAACCCCAAAATCTTCTTGTACTCATCATCACAGGGCTGAAAACACCTAATGTGACAGCAATTCCTCCATGCTAAAAGCCAAAATCCACCTCCTCAGCCAGACACCTTACTAAAATACAAGTGCTTTAAGCAGGACAATTCTCAGGTCTTCATTCTTCTGAACACACATTTGATTAATTGTCAATGACGTACTCAGCATTAAGAATTCTGCCTCTTTCCTTGGCTGCAGGAATGTTTTGCTTTTCTTTTTGAAATCAGTTCCTTCTTCTCTGGCTATGGCCATTTGGCCAATAATTTGACTGTTTACGGAAAGACAATGAGACCTCCTTCCCCAGATGTATATTACCCTCAAAGGCCCCAAAAGGCCTGTCTCCCACAAGCAGGAAAAGATGCATGAAGGCCCCTGGAGCCTTGACCAGTATCAATGTGTTTGCTGTTGGAGGTTCAACAATGGTCATCCAGGTGCTTTGTGCCTTGCTTAGACAATTGGCTTAAACATCATAAAACACCAGCTCCGACTCTTGAGAACAAATGGAGAGGCAAGGTAAATGCATGGTGAAGCAGAAAGATCCCAGTGTGTATGATTTTGCCCAGGCCAGGCTCTGCACAAATTTGGGCACATGTATATTTCTGCCCATCACACCAGATGGTACCACTGGTTGGGATAAGCTCTTGAAGGACTTTCTAGTAATGAATTGAAGTGAAGTAGCAGCTTCCCCGGAAAGCACAGGGGCACATGTCAACCTGCTCATTTCCTTGCAGCATCAGCATGACCACGTGTTCTACCTTGCTTGCCCTGGGAATGATGCCGCTCTGCCTGCTTATCTATACCAAAATGTGGGTCGACATGGGAAGCATCGTTATTCCCTTTGATAGCATCGGTAAGCCATTCTTCTGCAAGACTGTTTAATGTCACCCTCACACTCTCTGCTTATTCTCTGCTAGGATCTCAGACCAGGCTCACACTTATCCATTATTTATCTCTTGCATTAGTGCCAGTTTTCACCCAATTAGAATTTGCTTCTAAGTCACCTTGGCCTTTGAATGACTATTGGCAGAATGCAAATTCCAAGCCCTGACCCCATAGGACAAACTGAACTTTCTTATTCACATCCTTGGGGAAGGAGCAAGCTTTACCTCAGAAGGGCCAGGATGCTGGCACAAGGCAGCCTCCATCTTTTCTTTATGCACAACCAGAACTAGTTCACGTTAACTAGCTTGTGTGCATGGACACTTACATTGAAGACATGCAAAGAAAGTTCATGTAATGGTTTCAAAACAGAAGACTTAGTAAGCAATTGTGAGTGGCATCATGGGGAACTACCAGATAAAAATTAATTTTAAGAACCTTCCAATATGAGCCATAGCTTTGTAGAAAAGTTGATCCATATCTCATGGGCCAGAATTCAAATTTGCTATTATGACTATGTCTGCATTCATTTCAGCTCCTAGATGTTCCCCCATCTCTATTTCTGGGGCAACAGAGGACAGTGGGAGACTAAATGGCTGGGGTGACATAGAGGTGAAAGTCAAGAGAAAGATGTTTCCTGGTTTGCCAAAAGCAGGCTTTCCCACAGAACCAGCATAAAAAAGATAAGCTTTAGGGGAAATAGTACACCTTTGCACGTTAAATAGTCTCGTTTTCAGTTGAAGTTGAGGACAAATGTCTTCTTCATGAGCTTCCTCTAAAGGGCGTGGATTTCCCATTGAAGAGACCACACAACAAAGGCCATCCAGTGACTCAGGGAAGGTTTGATAAAGGGATGCTTGGGAGGTTTTGAAAGCTGGACTAAAAAGTCCCTTCCATTTCTAAGAAAGATCATTTCTGTGATTAAATGGGATGCAAACTATGTACGACTGAATTGGGACAAATTTTTGCACAATAATTGGGGTGATCAGTATTGCAGTATTTTTCATAATCTCTTTTCTCTCCCCTACTCCCACTGGAAGTATTAGAATTGTACAAAGTGATCCTCTAGATACCTTCTTGGATAAGGTTTTTCTCTGTATAAGATTCTCCTACTGACCCCTGGGAACCTCTGTCATAGCACGTATAATCTGGACTCAGGTTGTAGAGCCACCCCTCCCTGTGCCTCATGCATGCTGTTTAGCTGATCCTTCCTTAAAGAATGTAGTTTGTTTGCACGGCAAACACTGTGGCTCCCTCTCAAGGAACCTGCTTGCTGACAGCAGCATTCTGATTGCACACTATTCATTGCTTAAGAAAAGAATTCAAGTCTTAAAATATTCTCCTCTTGATAGCCATTTCCTCCTGAAAAATGTCCCATGGCAGTATGGAGTAATTTTTAACTACCACATGAATACTTGTACCATATCCTTTAATGTGAATACATTTTGAAAGGAGAAATGGATTAGCATCTCAGTAGAGAGGGAAAATCATCATAAGTAGGGATCAAGGGTGAAAAGAAAGGAAAAAAAGGAAAGAAAAAGTTTGAAACATAAAGACAGTAACTTTGTTTATCATGTTTGCCCAGGTCTATTTTCCAACCCAACTTTTTTACCGTTGGTTTTTCTAGGTTTTTGTTTTGTTTTATTTTAATGGGGACAAAACTGAGCTGACAGCTTCACAAGAAGTTATCATCACTTGATAAATGAGGCTCTTGAGACTTGGGGCAATTATTTAATTTGTCCAAGATTCCTGGGGAGCTGGAAATAGTCCACAGGTCTGCTCTTCACCTTGCTCTGTGGGTTGGCACTGTGCTTGGGATGGTGCCGTGCTTGGGATGGCATGCACAATGTTCAGCATGTTCCTGTGGCTCAGGAGCAAAGATAACAACATCTGCATGGGAAGAGGCCTGTGCATGGCTGGAACCCAAAAGCAAAACACTATGGCAAGTTGTTGCAACCACATTTTGAGTATCTCATACCAAGAGCTTTAACTCCATGTTATCATTAAATCTCACCACAGCACTGTGAGGTAGACATGAGTCTACTCGTTTTCCACATGAGGAGACCAGAGTACACAGGGGTTAAATGATTGCACAGTTTCCATGGTTTGTGAATAAAGAAGAGTTGAGCTACAACTCTCTCCTGTCCCTCTTTCACCAATGGAATCATTCACCACTCTCTGTCACTGTGGCTTTTCTTTCTACCTTTCTCCTTCCTACGCCTCCTGTGTAAACTGAAATAAAGACTAAGTTTTACTTTCAATGGTATAACTACAAGCTGGTCCTTTTTGTTTTTTGTTCTTTGTTTTTGGTACCAGGGATCAAACTCAGAACCTTGTGCTTGTGAGGCAGCTAAGTCCCCAGCCCCAGCTGGTTCTTTTTGATCTACAGAGACAACCATTTTGCAGAGGAAGTTCAGATAAATAAGGAATAAATAAAACAAACAACCTGGGAAAGCAAGGCAAGGTGACCACACATTCAAGCCCAACCCTGTCTCAAAATGAAAAAGAGCTGGGGATGTAGCTCAGTGTGAAGGCCTTGGGTTCCATCCCCAGTTCTGCAGAAGAAAGAAGGAAGCCAGTTCTAGGCTCATGAGGGAACAGAGCTCCAACAGCCCACTCTCAGGGAAGAACCACCCATGGGTGTGAAGAAGGGCCACATCAGGTCCCTGGAAAAATTCCTCTAGCCTCATCTGGTGAAGGGAGAAAAAGCTTCCACCCTAGACTATGGCCAGAGATCCCGTCAGCGTTGGGATACCCCAAAGAGACAAGGACCTTAGCAAGGGGCCCTAAATGGATCCAACATGCTAAAAGTGCACAACAGAAGCCCAATCATATGCATGTTCCAAACACAGTATGTGCACCTAGAATACAAACAAGTTCTATCCACAACATTTTTAATTTAAGGCTTACAAACTTCACAAAATCTAGTGGGTGGTCTAGAGGTCAAAGAAAAGAAGTGTCCTCCCCAAAACAGTAGAATGCAGGGATCCCCAAAGGGGGTTTGCGGGAGGATCTAACCTCCATGTTCTTTCCATACGCCTTTCTCCACCATTATCTGCTTGCTCTCTCCTACTCATTTTTATTTTTTCTCCACCTCTTAGTTTCCTTAGCCATGACTTAATTCCACCAATTTCCAGGCAAAAGTAATTAGTGACCTTTCATTGTCAGAAGGGCTAGGAGGCTACAGACAAATTATGTTTTCATCATTATTAGATTCATCTTAAATTAATATTTGTAGCCCTAGAATCTGGAATCTGTGTTCCACTCCTCAGTGAATTCATCGCAATAATAGGCAACATCCTCTTAGAGTTTCATTATCCAATTTCACTTTCTAATCCTGCTCTATATGGACATTTGCAAAAGAAACAGCCAATGAGAAGTTAGAAGCTGTTGGTGCTCTATTATAGGAAAGCAGCCATTGGACAAATAAGTGTTAAATAATATAGAGAAACAAACCATATGTCCCAAGAATGGCCATAAATTTAGCATGGTGATATTAAAGTATGACTCTTTCATCTGGCTACTTGAGTACACTGATGTAAAGAATTATAATTACATGAGAGGTCACCAGATATATTATCTCACTGAAAATTTAAAGCACGCATTTTCAACCTATTCTCTCACCTCTGTTTGTTGATCTGAATAAATGAAGTCAGTTTTAACCAAAAGTCTTTAACCTTCAGAACACCTTGAGATCATGAGCAAATTTTGAATTATTTTCTATTTCTTCTACTTTAAAATAAGTTGTTTATTTCTACTACCATGAAGTAATAAAAAGACATAAAATATCATTTATATATACCACAAGAACATACATAACTACACATATGCAAACCCAGACACACAAATTTTGGCAAGACATATTTCCTAGAATTTCTAGATGTAATAGATCCCTAAATCCTGACAAATAGAAACTAAAGTTTATTGGTAGTAGAAGTAACTCTAAAAAATCCACCCAGGATTTAGTGAAAGTATTTATATTATCAATATTATCAATTCTCTTCCATTAATATTAAATTAGCTATTGGAGTATGGAAAGAAGGTGTGTGTGTGTGTGTGTGTGTGTGTGTGTGTGTGTGTAAATCTACATTCTGTTCCATGTCTTCAGTAAGAGGACTGAAATACTGCCTAAGCTTTTTTCAGGCTATTTATCTCTTGTTTTTCTCTTTCTCATGTTATATCTTTTGCTGATCAAATTGACCTTCTGTCATTTTCAGGTATTTCTTTGGTTGCTCTTGTTATTCCTGTTTCCTTTGGAATGTATGTTAATAACAAATGGCCACGGACAGCAAAGATTATACTTAAGGTAAGTATCTCGCATAGTAGGCTGCACAATTAAATGCTCCACAGTAAGAAATGAAATAATAGTGTTTCCACCTATTATGTTGCTTTATTCTCATTTCATAACTTAAATACCTTCTGGGGGGCCTGAAGTTTGAGTCATATAGTCCTCTCTCCTATGATGCCACTCATGGTCCTATCCCCGAGGCAAGTTTCTATTCATCATTTGAGATCCAACTGAAACATCACTTCTTGATTTTACTCTGCCCTGTACTCATGGAGCATTGCTGCCATCTCTGCTATGTGAGTTTATGTTATAAAATCTACCTAGACAGAGATCTCAGATAACAAATCACATGTTTCTGATTTCTGCAACCATATGGCCAGTTCAGTACCAGGCAATTGGCAAATGTTAAATATATAGTAATTATATATTGTCCTTCACTGACTCTACAGATATGCATATAGGTGATAATGATAGGGTCTATTGCTCAGGGGGTGAGCTAAGATAATTAGTATTGTTTCTCTGGACAAAAAATATATAATAACTATATGTTTTATAATATATTAATTTAATCTCCATGTAGTGTAAAAATGTAAAAAGGAGAAAATAGCAGTGCCAGTGCCTTCTTAAACTTACAGGTTTATATCTATATTCTTATCATCAGAACAATCATAAAATGTGGCTGAGGCAAGATTTTCATCCCCAATTACAAATGAAGACATCAGGATTCAGAACAATTCAGGATTTACCAAAGGAGACAAGATAGCAGGAGCTGAATCTGGAAGCCACGTTTTCCAAGCTCTTATCTACATGGTCTTCTTCCTCTCTCACAGGATGATTTGCAAGCTAGGAAATCTGCAGGTTAATTGAGCATGAATAGGATAGGTCCTTTGGCTTTCTTAAAAATCTAAAACATACCGGGGTTGACTGTGGCCCTCGAGGTAGAGCTGCATAGCAAGGTAGCTTGCTTATCACATTCCCGAATGGAAGCAGTCTTCTTAGCTTTTGTCCCTGACAGATGCAGCTAGAGGTGCTTTGACACAGTGGCTGGATTCACCTGTCTTTGTTCCTTACAGATCGGATCCATCACAGGTGCAGTTCTCATCATACTCATTGCTGTTGTTGGAGGAATATTGTACCAAAGCGCCTGGATCATCGAACCCAAACTGTGGGTGATAGGCACACTATATCCTATAGCTGGTTACATCCTAGGATTTTTTCTGGCTAGAATAGCTGGACAGCCCTGGTACAGGTATGACGTCTTGCAAAATCCTACTGGGAATTTTCACTCGTAACAGCTGCCACATGTGTTTGCTGCTGTAATAAAAAGCCACAAACTCAGTGCCTAACAGACATACACTGTCTCACATTTTCACAGACATGAAGTCAGAATGAAGGTGTTTACCTGCTTGGTTCTTCTTGAGGGCTATGAGGGAAGCTTTGATTTTAGGTCTCACTCCTCAGCTTGTCCATGGCCATCTTCTCCCTGTGTTGCCACACATCATCTTCCCTGTATGCCTGTCTGTGCCTCAGTTTCCTTTTTTATAAGAGAGCTAAACATATTGGATTGGAACCACCCTCGTCTTGTATAATTATGTGTGCAATGATCATTCTTCCATGTAAGGTCGCTTTCTGCAATATCAGGGCTGGAACTCCCATGTATGAAGTTGAGATGAGGACATGATCAGGCCATGGCAGTTGTAAATACTGATGACAAGCTAAATTCTTTCACCTGGAATCACATTTGCCACATTTCTGACCATGTCATTCTAAATAAGATCATTCATTCTTAAAACACTGCAAATCCCTAAAAAGAAGATATTGACTATCTTTATATTTGTTTATCTATTTATTTCTCAAACTCTTCTAGACCATTCTCTGCCCAGTGCCAGACAGACTTTTCCATTGTTATACATTCTTATTCTCCAAGCAGTGTAGCTTTAACAAAAGCAGTGAGTTTGGCCTTGTGATACACATGGGTTCCTCCAGTGACTGGCAAGATGAACTCACATCCAAAGGTATTCAACAATAGAAAAGGCTTAGCTCTTAGGATCTGGTACTATGTAAAAACATTTTCTCTCCTACAAGTCCACCTAAAGCAACATACAGGGAAAGTGCAGATGTAGAAACTGGTGTCCTTGTGAGGTCAGACATAGAGGCACAGTGCTTGCACCGCTGAGATGGGCTGCATTCATTCCATCCCCTGCTGCTCACCAGCTGTGGGTCATCCAGCCAAGCACTTTCCCTGAGTTTTCTTATCTATAAAATGGGGAAAAGAATTCCTATGTTGCAGATGCTTAAATGAGATTCAGTCAGAACAATCAAATTTAACAAAAGGTAACTATAACACGTACTGTACTTTGAGTGTTTCCCGAGCCCTGATCTATACTCTCTGTTGTTACCAAGGACATCATTGAAAAGGCTAACATGAACATCATTGGCCATATATGGAACACTATTATTAATGAGCCCCTACTCAAATAGAAGGGGTTAAGGACAAACATGGTAATGTTGAAACATTGCCATTCATCCCCCTCAAAACACTCCCTCTCTCTTCGAACGCACTTAGGCCAACATTTTTGCAACCTTCTGAAGCACTTCTGGAAGTCTTCCTTCATGAGTGTCTATTCAGGGTGTGAAGAAAAATGTCACAAATGTTGCTGCTGAGTGTCATACAATGGAAAAACCGACTCATAACAACATTAGAGTGTATCCTCCTCCGCTTCGCTCCCTGGATCTGCCACCATGTGACTTCTGGCTCTTCCCTGAAGTCAAAATGACCACAAAAAGTAAACATTTCTAATCGATTCAGGACATAAAGGTAGCTGCAACAACTCAACTAAAGAGAAGAAAGAAGACTTCCAGTAGTGCTTGAGAAAGTGACAAGAACAATAGGACAAGTGTGTTCAAAGAAAGGGGAAACGCTTTTAGGAGGATTCATGGCAAAGTACTTTTACTGCAATAATATTTTTATGTGAAGACATCCTATTTTTTATCTCACCTCATAGGCATATATTAAAATATGTATTATATTTAGAACATACTACTATATAATGATGTATTTATTAAGTATAAAGGCATGTACTCTATATTGAATCAATGCACATACAGTCTATGTATTTGTTCTCATATTTGCCTTTAATGTTTTGCAAAAACAAAACAAAGCAGCAATGAACACACGTGTTCCCTTAACCTCCCTGGTAGGTGCCGAACGGTGGCTCTGGAAACAGGGATGCAGAACAGCCAGCTGTGTTCTACCATTGTGCAGCTCTCCTTCACCCCCGAGGAGCTCAACCTGGTGTTCACCTTCCCGCTCATCTACAGCATCTTCCAGATCGCATTTGCAATAATACTGTTAGGAGGTAGGGAGTAATGTGAAGTCAACACCACCATCATGCACTTCTTTGGGAAATCCTAGAGTTGCTAAAATGGTCTTTTTAAGAATTCTTTGCTCCTGGCAGTGAATTGTACGAATAAAAGAGAGAGAACTCCTACCCCATAATAGCATCATGACTTCCAAAATACTGCTGAAAAACTGTAATTTCATCAGTTTTAGTGAAGATGATTTTAAATGAAAAGTGATAGTGGATTCTCTCCACTTTTCCTCAGTAATCAGATATGTTGACCAATTAAAAGTATTTTATTCTGTTTTCTTAAATGCTCCCAAAGAGTCCAACATTTTGGTGATTCTTCTCAAAATAGTGTCTTGATATACTTTATAAATGTAGAATATTTACCAGAAAGTAGTATACAAAAGATATTTAACAAACTGAGTTATAAGGGAAATAAGTATACATACATATAGATGCTCAATTTATATAATTGAATCAGTTTAAGCAAAAATGGTCTTTATTTAAAGTACAAGGGCTAGTTGACCTGGCTCTTAATTTTACTTTGCTATGATATAAACTTTGATCTTCTCCTATGAGGCCCCCACCTACTGACCTTAACCCAGTTGTGATTTTTTTTTATGCATTTCACTTTCTATGGACTGGTGATGTTTAACCTCTACTTTTTAAGTTCTATTTTTTTAAATAAAGAAGTTACTTTCAAAGCCTTATGGCATTTTAATGGAAAATACAAAGTGAAGGTGTAAGACACAAATAATGTGAACATTAACTTATAAAATGCCATGAGGTACTATGCTGTTTTCTTTTATTTTTTTTCTTTTCTTTTCCTTTCTTTTTGCTTTTTTTTTCTCCTTCTATTTTGTTCCAGTATGCATTCAGCTTGCCTGTGAGCTCAAATCATCCTCCGAATTACAGTCCTGAGGTCAGTCTCAAGGCAGGGCCTTCCTTTCCCGAACAGGACTCTCAGAATCACTGAAAACATTGCACTGATCTGTCACCCATCCAGGAGACACAGGCCTATGGTTTAACAACCTTGTATTCTTGTCTAATAATTGTGGTTTATTGTATAAATGTCTACTCTGTTTGGCATATTGAGAGATTTTGTTAGTGGTGTACACTAGACAATTCAGAGAAAGGGGACTGATTGATTGATAGTACAATTAAGTAAATTCACCAGTTGGGTGATTGGCCCAAAAGAGATTGAATAATTGAAGAACAAGTTGAAGGAGCAAGGAAGATGAGATACTAGACTCTATCTGGTCCCCTTTGTTAGTATCATCACTGAGGTGCGGGCCAGGCATCCTAATTAAATGTTTCCAGTGCCCAGAAACACATTTTGGTGATGGTATTGAAGACTAAATATTTTTTTTAAATAGGAGGAACAAGAAAAGAAAGAAGGAAGGAAAAGAGAAAGGAAGGAAGGTTGAAGGGATAAAGAAGTTATACAGTTTGGTTAAATAAAATCATTGCATAAGTTCAGGAAATACCTGCTCAAAGAGTTTATAATAAATGTTGGCTCTTTAAGTTGACCATAAGCTCAAATTGAATTCAAAAGTGGAGTTGAGTGGCTTCAAAACTAGTATTTTACTAGAAGCACAGGGACCAGTCCAAAAGAAATTGATCTGGACATGCTAAGACATTTGATTCTAAACAATGTCTCATCAGCTGTGTCTCCTACTGAACTTTCCTTGCAAGGGACAGCCTTTCTTGGTTGGCTGGCCTCAAAATTAAGCTGAGAAATGGTTGCTACCAGAGACTAGCAGTCCCACAGAATAGCAGAAGTCCGATCACCCTGAACCTAACACTCTTCCCACACAGGAAGGACTGGGTGACGGCAGAAACACCAGGAGTGCACTTCTAGTTCAAGTCTGCACAAAAGGCCATCACTCCAAGGTCCTGGACACCGCACCATAGCATGTGGCATGTTTATTGAGGACTACCACATTAATGAGCATAGGATAGCTTTGGAACAAATACCTCTTTTTCTTATTGTCATGGAGTTTCACCTGAGGGCTGAATCCTAAAGAAGGCTTGTAGTTGCCCTGAGCAAATAATTCTGAAGTTTTATTGTAGGTCTTCCTGAAGTACAGTCCTCTCTTGCCACAAGTGGTCGTGGAACCAAGAATGACAATTGTTTCCTCTCACAAGCCTCCCATTTTCTCTACAGAAAATGGAAATGGCTCTATGAATCATGCAATATAATCACTGTCTAAAGTAATTTTGCAGCTTATGATTATGAAATTTACTTAACCTCCTGTGTATTGTTTTCCAGTTTATTTTGCATACAGGAAATCTCAGAGGAAAAATGATGTGGAATTTCCAGAGAATAAAGACAACGAAACACAGTCTGAGTCATCCTCTCCTAAGATAAATGGTGGATTTCAACCAGACTCATAAAAAGTACTCACAAAGTAGGCAAAAAGGAAAACGCTAAAGAACATTCTTAAACTATAAGTACATTAATTATTTGTTCTGGTGGGATAGCTGACAGGAAGAAGTTCAAGTGTAGATTTGAATTGAACATCTGTATATTGGTTCTGGTACAAAGGGACATGTGGTCCAATTTCTTAGTGTGACAAATATTGTTTCATATGTACATATATATTTATATATATGCTTCATTAGTACATATATATGCATAGAGATGTAGGTGTTCTTCAGTACTCAAATCCACAGATATTCCAAGTTTTATGGCATAGTGTTTTTATATATTCCTCGTGCCCTTTAAATCATCTCTAGATTACTTCTCATACCTAGTACAATTTACAATGTGAACACCTAATACAGTGTAAATAGCTGTTATACTATATTGCTTAAGAAATAAGGACAAGAGAAAACTCTGTATTTGTTCAGTACAGATTCAACATTTATTCAAGTATTTTTGATCTGCAGAAGTTGGTTGTGTCTGCAGATATGGAACCCATAGATACGGAGGGCCAGCTGTGGACTGCGCATCCACTATCACTGAAACATCTCCCAACATTAGCTGTAGGCCTAACGTGACATGGGTAACACTGAGAGCTTCCTAACACCTAGACTGAATTCTAATGCAGAGCCTTGGAACCCAGACATGAGCACTTTTTGTATGTTAAAATAGATACAATGAATTATTATTGTAAAACAATCAAGAGTTTCTTCAGTATTTATGATTGCAAAAAGATTTATATGAATGACTTACACTGACATCTTAATCATTGTTTTGAAAACTTTGCACATATTTATTTATATATAAATATGTATTTAAAATATATATATATATATATATATCTTTGTAGCATAACATGGGGAAATGCTTGACTTCTGGTTTAAAAAACAGACTCCCCTAGTGACTGTGTAAAGTAGCAATGATGGACATGTTAAATAAAATTCAATAATTAAATTGAATTCAATAAAATTTAATAATCAAATTGAAATCAGGTTCTTAACTCATCACAGATATTATATACCTGTTGTGCTACCTCCAGGGTCTACTGATGCCCACTAGATCTTTCAGGGAAAAAAATGAATTATTTCTAACAATTTGAATTTGGCAAATAGCTGTTCAAGCCCTAGAGGCAGACTTCCTCAATGTTTATCTGCGTGAAACAGATCCTGATTGGCTGATGTGACAGCTACTCAGTTCATAGGAAGCACCCACAGCAGGATTCATGCAGGGAGGTTCTAGGAGGTGCAAAGACAGTAGAAGTATAGTGAAGAACGCTCTAGTATATGAATTAATACAATGGGAGATCATGGAAGTACGTAAAAAAGCACAAATAACTGAAATATAGTTGAAGTGTTAACTATAGTTGATTTGGTGTAAAGAAGGAAGTAGCTATAAGAAAAATCAAGTCAGAAAGAGATCAAAAATTGAGTATTAAATAGTGTTAGAGAAGAGGACACATCTTCTGGCCAAGAAATACAAAGGGCATTTCCAGATGAATCTTTGGATGCTGGAAGTAGTTGTAACCAGCAGACTTAAGTAGGATGTGATAAATAGAAGCAGTAACTCAACGGGAAAAAAATTGGTCATATGTTGCACTCTCAATTATGAGATCTAATTTAATTTCCTTTCCCCAGAAAGATGCATGCACATTCCTAATTCTGTCTTTAGTGATTTAGTCCATGTTCCATTCGGATATTTTCATTGCCTCGTAGGTTTTTTTCAAATGTATTGGCTTCAAAAGACTTTTTGCATTGGAGTTATCTGAGTTCAAAACCTACTGGTGCGTAGAAAGATTATAGGACAGAGACTCAGTTGAGCTCTTCCAGTAGAGGAATGAGGGTTTCTGCCTTTAGAAGTTGGAACATTTATATCTTTTTATATAATGTTCACATTTACAATCAAATAATCCCTCTGTATTTTTCCAACCCATATACTGTGGGTTTTTATGTCCATGTACTAATAATGGACTGAAGATATTTTTAAAAGATAGTGGAGGAAAGAGGGTGGAGAATGCCAATGGCCTCCAAGGATACCAAAGGAAAACTTTCATTCTAGCTGTTAAGTACCACTTTCCTCATCCAACAGAAAACAGACAGATGCACTAAAGACATGCTGTGAATTCATATCAGAACTTCAACACACCCAAAGCCAGGGGCCCAGATGCCAGCAGCTGCAGCAGCAGGCTTTTCCTTCCTGTTGATTGAGATGCATAAATGAGACAGAACTTGGCTTTCTTACATGACCCGGTACCTTGTGAGTTGTGTTTTTTTCTCCCTGGTGTGCTAGAGGGAAGAAAAATAGCTAAGCTTTCTAAAATGACAGCTCTCTATTTTTAAATGAATTTGAAAGGCTGATTAAATTATGTATTTTATTGCCTCTGTGACTATCATATTAAATGAATATTTTATTTTAAAGGCTTGAATAAATGAAAATAAATTTTTGTAATATCTGGTCTTGTTGAGTTTTTGTGAATACTGTCAAGATGTTCTCACTGTTCAATTCCAGAGCTAAAAATAAGGTGGAGTTTCTGGAATCTTCAACTATTCTTTGAAAAGTACCTGAAACTCTTAATTAAATACTCTAGTAATTAGGTCTTCCAGTGATACCAATTGAGATTTTTCCAAAAAATATATAATGCAGGAGAAACATTAATGAAAGCCTCTTAAAAATGATGTGAAAATGAGAACTGATTTAAAATAATCATAAAAGTGCTTCATGTGCTCACCAATAAAGCCACTACCTTCTATTAAATGGTGAGATAGATGCATAGATATAAATACATAGAGGCATTTGTGTACACACAGAGAGACGTTAATTGAAGAATTCATATACTAAAATCTCTCCGTGACAAATGAAAAAATTCAGATGTCATCTTTATTTAATGCCGTCAAATGAGACACCATCCATCTTATTTTCCATTTAAGAGACATCTAGGAGACTCTCACTCTCTTCCATAGGACAACAGCTTATCTCCCCTCATAATATTCAATCTCCCATTGCTCCTCAGTCCTTCATCCATTCAGAAACCATTGAAGTTTAGAACAAGAGTCTATAAATTGTAGTATGGGTGCCCATGGGAGTTCATGAAATTGTTCAAGGGGTATTCAGGCATGGACAGCGAGCCAGTGTCCATTTCTTCAACCTCCATATGTATACTTTTCCAAAACTCCCTGTCTGAAATATCCAGTGCTTGAGTGGTCCTGGGTCCTCCTTTCCCATGTCCTGTTTTGTAGCCAGGGTTCACTCCTTGCCAAAGCAATGCCTTCTTCTCAGCATCCCTATTCCTACTATGACACACTGGCCCAGAGTGGAAAAACTGTAACACCAAACAAACAATGCATACCATTATGGGGAAAAGGCTTCTTATCTTTCCCTGTTGGGTACTTACAGACTATTATTTAACCATTTAGAAATGGATGAGTTTAAGCTGGCAGTGTGATACATGCCTGTAGTTCCAGCTACTTGGGAAGCTCAGGTGGGAGGATCATGAGTTCTAAGTCAGCCTGGGCAACTTAATGAGACCCTGTCAAGGAAAGAAGGAGAGAATAAAGGGAGGAAGGAAGGGAGGAAGGAAGGAAGGAAGGAAAGAAGGGAGGAAGGGAGGGAAGGAAAAATGGAAGAAAGAAAGAGAGGAAGGAGGAAAAAAGGAAGGAGGAAAGGAATAAAGGAAGGAAGAAGGAGGGAGGGAAGAAAAGAAAATAGATCAAAACAAAAGAAAAAAGAAATGAAGTACTCTGGGCTGTGCTGGAACATTTTGGATATAAAATTACTGTAAAGTGGGGTGATGATGAAGACATTCTCTGTTTACCCAAGAGCACTTCCTTAATTCGGACAAATCACTGCCCCGATGGACAATCTTAGGAGGGCTTGTGAAAGAACAAGAGCATCCATTGGATAATGAAAGAGAATTTGTGTTTGTTTTTTCTTCCAAGATATAGAAAACTATGGCAAATGGGTGAACCTTATCTATCATAAAATCAAAATTCAGATGCGAGATGATCCAGCACAGGGCCTTACATTAATATATTTGTTACAAAAGAAAAATAAAGCCAGACTTTTTTCTAACAGAAAAATCTGATTTGGCTTAGTTTGACAAAGGCCCTTTCTTTGTAAATTAATAAATACACAGGGCATGTTTTATTAATTAAATGAGCTCAATCATAGTTCCAACATTTTAAAATATATTCAAAACATTATCATATAAAAAGTACATTATAAAGTAATTGATTTAAAAATATAAAGAACTCAACTCAACAATAAGTCAAACAACCACATTAAAAATGAGCAAAATAATTCCAGTAGCTATTTCAGCAAATGATGGCAACTAGAGAAAACAGCACATGCAATGGCAAGTAAGTACATGAAAAGGTGCTTCACATCATAAAACAATTACATAATTTAAACCACAATGAGATACCACTGCATGCCCAATAAAATAGCTAACATGAAAAAATACTGACACAGTAGTAAAAGATGACAAGAATGTAAACAGTAACACTCATAGAGTACTCATGGCACAGTAATTTTCAAAAACACTTTTCAGTTTCTTATAAAGTTAAACACATGCTAACCATATAACTAAAAATTTCATCTCTGTCCTTAACTAATGCCTCCTGAAATAAAATAAGAGTAAAAAAAAAAACCAATCAGGGTCTAAGAATCTGGGGAGAGGTTGAACTGCCAAAAAGCATGAGGGAACATGTTGGAGCAATGAAGATGTATTACACTATGACTTTCGTGGTGGTTACACAACTTTATATATTTGTCAAAATTCATAGAACTATGCATTTAAAGTTGATGAATCTTATAGTGCATAATTTTTTCTATAATAAAGCTGATTAAAAATTTTATTAGTCAAGATGTAACAAGAAATTTTATGCAATGTTTTTATTTTCCCAGCCCTTAAGAGAACACTAAATTAAATTTGGAATCTCTAAGTGAAGAATAACAGGCTGTAAGTGCTATTTGATAAGTCTAGTAAATCCTTTGGTAGACAATTTCCCATAAGTTGAACAGTAAATTGCTTCAGTTACAGAGACATTTTGAAAGATCAGTATTTCCAATTTTTTTCAACAAAACTGAAAAAGGATTCCATCAAGTTGTCAATTCTTGCATGTAAAAAAATTTTTGATGATAAACCATATTGTGGTTTACATCTAAAATATCCCCAAAAATTCTCACATTTGGAGGTGGAACCTGGTCAGCAGGGGTAAATAATGGGAGTGTGACTTGGAATGGTGTATTCTAATCCCTAGCTCTTCCCTTTATTCTATGTTTCCTTATTGCCATGTGATGAACAGCTTTGCTCCACCAAGCCAATCTGCCATGGAGGCAGCCAAACATGGACTGAACCCATTGAAACTATGAGCTAAAATAAACCTCTCTACCTCTAAGTTGAGTGTGTTGGATACAAAAAAGTGACTGATAAACTAAATTAGTACTAGAAGTGGGGTTGTTGCTATGACTGTACCTGACCGTATGGTTCAGAAGTCTTTAGAAATGGTTTGTAAGAGGAGTTTGGGAAGATTCAGAGATGCAGGCTAGAGAAGCCCTGGAATGTTGTTAAGTATGCTTGATGAGAGATACTGGTCAGAGGTCAGAAGACCTGAATGCTGACAGGAATATGGAGAATAACTGCCAGGATCAGGAGATTTCAGTTGGGAACTAGGGCTCCATTCACAGTTAGACTAGAGGGCATGTGTGCTGTGCTCTGGCAGAAAATTTGTTTATACATAGTTTGCCCATGTCCTGAGGCATAGAGGGAGACTGAGATTAAGAGTGGCAGACTAATCTGGAAGAGGAAATTTCAAGATAGCCTAATATTCAGCCTGGGACATAGTTACTGCTGGCTGCATTTAACTTGATTTAAAATGAGAATCAGTAACAAAGAGCAAAACTAAGTGATTTGAAAGGTTTGTAGTTTTGCCAGAAAGGAAGCACTTCCAAAGTTAAGTCAAAATAAAGCATGGTTGTTAAAAAGATTAGCATTAAAAAGAAGACAAATATTTTGTACAGAGACAACAAAAAAGATGGCTTGAAGGCATCCCAGCAAAATCTCACCCATCTCAAGCTCAAGGGTGCAAAACTGAAAATCTTTCATTTGAGAAGAGAGCCATAGTGATGTCTGCTCATTTAGGGCTGCTTAATGAAGTGTATTCCTGAATTCAGCAGTGCAGGCACTCAGAGGCTGCTGTAGCCTTCATCCAAGGGGACCTGGATACTGCCCAAGCTAGTGGCTGATTTTGGTGTCATCTATAGTCTCATTTCTCGTGCATGGAGAATGCAACAGTTATGGGGTCATTGAGACTTCCACATAAATTTTAGAAGGTCTGGGAGGCCAGGCAAAAATATATGTGATGGAGTCACAGCTTGTGCCAAGAGATCATATGATGGCATTTCATGAAGCTGAACATGCAATGGACAACCCAGGAATGTAGAAGTGCCAGGAATGTGGACATCTGCTGAGGAGAGCCATGGGCAATGGGCAAAGCTAGCCTAATAGAGAGTCCATGAGGGCTGCACGCAGCAAATGCACAAGGGAAGGGCTATCCAAGCTCTATGGAGCTTACATTTTGCCAGAACCTATCCCAGGTATTGGACTTACAGCCTCAGAATTAAATGTTTGTCTTGCTGAGTATTGGTCTTGCCTCAGTCTGAGAATGTTAGCCTGTGCATTATATGTTGTAAGTATTTAACTTTGGTTTTTGATTTTTATAGGGCTCACAGTTAAGAGTTTGCCTTGAGTCTCAGAGGAGACTTTGAACTTGGACTTTTCAGCAATGCTGCTATTAAGAATTTGTTTACTGTTAAAGATGGACTAAATTCTTTTTGTATAATGAGATTGACATGAACCTTTTGGACACCAAAGGTGGAAAGTTGTGGTTTAGATCTAAAATGTTTCCTAAAATTCTTATGTTTGGAAGTCCCCAGAACCAGTCCCCAGAACTTCCCTTTTCTCTGTTCTTCCTGGTTGTCACGTAGTGAACAGCTTTCCTCCACCATGCCATTCTGCCATGCATTTCTGCCTTGGAGCCAGACAACAATGGACTGAATCCACTAAAGCTATGAGCCAAAATAAACTTCTCCTCTTTTTAGTTGCAAGTGTCAGGTATTTTGTCCCAGTGATAAGAAAGTGACTAATGAAGACTAGTATGAGATTTTTATCATTTTGCATGTGATTTGGAGTTCAGATTTGATGGCAAGATATACCAAAAGTCCTCTCATCATCATCTACCTCTTTACAAAAGAATGTTCATTAGCAATTAAATATATTAAAAAAGAAGAACAAAATACTGATCTCTGTCTAATGCTGACAACAAAAACAAACTTTTACATGATGCTTGTAATGTTCCAGGCTTTCAAGTTATGTACACCTATGAACACATTTAGTCCCCACAATAATTCTATAATTTTATATAATAGTAACTCCTATAATTGAAGGAACTAAGGCACAAGGAGCTAAATTTTCAGGAGATATGAAGGGAATCTGAGAATAGTATGAGGGGAGGGAAGGGAGAGGAAGGTAAATTGAAAACAATTAAAATTATATATAATGTATGAATTCCCTAAGGTGAATGTAATTATTATTTATCATAAACAGTAATTTAAAAAGTACCACTCCAAAATCTAACTCTATAACCTATAGATTGACCGATTGACCGCAGCACTGGACTGTATAATATTCATCCACACATATATGAAATTTTAAGTTTTTCATGAATATATTACACTAGAAGAAAGTTCTACACTGGGAGATTAAAATATGAATCCAAGTGGAAAGAAAACCATTGTAAAATTCCCAAATTTGAAGGCAAAGCTTTCTTTTTTAAAAGAAAATAGATTGATTATCCTACATATGATTTATGTAAATTCCTTTGCATATATTTAAAAATGATATAAGAGCTTAATTTTAAATTTTCAGAATTTACAAAATTGCATTTACAACTTTTTGTCCAAAATTGAACTTGTAATTATTTAATTTAATAGTGACAAATTATAACTATCAACTAAATGGTAAATATCAACCTATGTACAAGGTATAAATAGGTTTTAAAAGCTAAAAGTGTAAATAAGGATCAAAATGTATAACTGACAATGTGAAATAGGAAGAAAATGTCTAAAGGAATAGGGGATGTGGAAGAGGTAGGGGAAAGGAAAGAAGGGAAAAGAAAAAATATGAGAAGGGAAAAAAAATGGAAACAAAGTCTTCGTAAGTAGGGAAGGGTGGAGAGGGTGAAGGGAGGACAGGGGAATGGGGAAAAAATAGGAACAAAGATACATCATGTAAAGGTACAAGATCCCAATCATCAATGTAACTGTATTGTATACCTAAAATGTACCAATAAGCTTAATAGAAAAAAAACAATTCTCTTGAAGGTATGCATTGCATTTAAAAGCCTGGTTAGTGTTAGATAGGTTGTAGAGGAAAGTTAATTCTAAAAGATGATTATTGTCTTTTCCAGGAATAAAATACATTCAAAATATATATATCATATATTATATATTTGTATATGTGTAATAAGAGCAATAGTATCATTATTTAAATTTGAAGTAGTAGTTTAAGATACATAATACAAACATAATTTGCACATTGAAGTTTTGGGGTTTTGAGCTGAAGGACTAATAGTTATGAATGAATTCTTAAGAAATCACAGTTTCATACTTTTCAAACCAAAGAAGTTTAAAAAGAACGGATTTTAAAAATAGTAAATATGATTGTATCCTTTTGCCACTGCAGACATAATGGCTTTTTATGTCTCATGGCACTAAGGGACACTACAAGGCCACTAAGCAGTGCCACTGATTTTGATCCTTTGAAACAGTCAGGGATGACAATACAGACATCTGTCAAGAATAAAGTGACAGTGAGGGAAAAGAGTTATGGGAAAATGTTAAGTGAAAAAATAAATTGGTATTTAGCTGTCTTTAAATACATGTCAATTATAAGGATTACAGGGAATGGATATATGAAAATATGTTTTTAAGGAAATGCTGTGAGTTGATTTTTCAATATTTTGTTCTACTGTATATGTGAGCATGAGATAAAACCAAGAGGGAAAAAAGGAAACAGTGAGAGTAGCCTCAGAGGTACCATGCATCTTCTGGAGCCCATAGACCAATCTGGGCGAATAGGATGGGCAAGGGAGAATTAAGCCTGGCTACTCGGTCTCCAGCGCGTAACCAGTAAGGTGGAGGCTTTCAGGAGCAGCAAACAGCATTGTCTGATTAACCCAACACTCATTCCCTATTTCCTTGTCCCATTCTCACCTCAAGTAAAAATTCAGGTTCTTACCTTCACTTGCAGTTAGATGGCCATGTGACAGAGTCCTGACAATCACAGAAGCAGAAACCCCTGTAGGGGGATTCCAGGAGAGCCTCTGGCAATGCTTGGTTGATGTTACTGTAAAGTGTGGGTGTCCAACCTTCCGGCTTGCCTGGGCCTCACTGAGTGAAGAGAAATTATCTCATGTAATATAAAATATATAATACAGTTAATGATCATTGGTCACAAAGCTTCCTCTTTATATCTTTATCACAACATAAAAAGCAGGGAACATAGCAGGCACAGGAGGCCGAATCAGCACTGCTCTGTGCCTCCCAGCGGAACACTGCTGCACACCCACTGACACAGCCTACTGTGAGCCGCCACTCAGTCAAATTGGGGAAATATCACTAAAAATCACAGAAGAGTGTTAAAAGCTTACGTTCTCTGGGGCCACATTACTAGCTGTTCCACATCACATGCAGCCTGCAGATAGCAGGTAGGATGCCTGATGTCAAGGTAATAGATGCTCTGGGCACTTTTTCCTCATCCCACCTCCACATTCCTCAGCTGTTGCCATAGTAACTAGGAGGGAAGGAACCCAGCACAGCGGGGGCACCAGCCCCAGCAGTGTTGGACCACTGAAGCCCAGCCACAACTATCCTAGACACACCGACACCAGAGCAAAATAAACATCTACTTCCTTAAGCTGCTGTTTCTCACATGCATCATCACTTGCAGCTAGAAGCATTTTTCCAATTTAGTGACCCTTATAGCTGGAGCTGTATTAGATATAAGATACCCATCTAAATTCCAGAGGAATTGGTGAAGGTGGAGAAGATAAAACCTGAAGGAGTAGGGGGAATGTCAAGGCAAAGTTTCTCCATTTAGAATTTTGCTTGGGAAACAAAGCAGAAAGTTCCATAAAGGCAATGACTGTGACATTCAATTTGCCCCAGCTCTCATTATCATAACAGAAATTTAATACATACTTGTGAAATTGCATATATTGGCCCTGAATCAGATTATGAAAAGTGTTGTTCATTTTCAAGCCAAAACAATCTTCCCTGTGGACTTACATTTAAAAGTAATTAACACAAAAGTCACAGATACCAAGATCAGGAATTAATCCTTTTAATTCCATATAGCTACTCTCAAACTCTATATTTGAAATATTTCACATTGTAAACTGAATGATTATCATGCTTTTTATTAACTCTCTTCATACTACACAAATTTCTTCAAAGGCTAATTACGCTATTTATTGATATCATGAAAATAAAGCCCTGGCTGCAATTAGGTAGGGGTAGAAGGACAGAAAACATACTAAAAGTTATGTAATTCTAATGTGTAGTAATAGTTTTTAAAGCTTTTAGATACATATTACATTGGATTTCCAACTGTACCTATAGTTATTACTCACACTGTGCTAAGACTGAATAAATATGCATTAAGCATGTTTTCAAGCACTCATTATTAGCTCAGCCAACTGGAACAAACCCATTAACAGGAAGCTTTTCTAGTTTATCAAGTGAATCTAGATTAGGTTCTTGGGAATGTGTTTAAATGTTACCTTTATTCATAGACCTCTCCAGAATCCCAAAGTAATATGCTTGTTATTCCAGGGAATTTTTTGAGACAGGGTCTCACTATTTAGTTTAGACTGGCCCGAACTCATTATGTAGCCCAAGCTGGCCTCAAACATTCAGCAATCCTCTTGCTTCAGCATTGAGTTCTGGGATTCCAGGTATGCACCACCACGCCCAGCCTGCAGGGATTTTTAATGTGTGATGTCAGGTGCCATTCTCCAAAATGCTGAGGTATTATAATATGCTTCACTTTACAACCCAGCTAGGCCACAAATAAATCCCCAACATGTATAAAGAGTTTTGCTACCTTTGGTCTATAAATTCCCCAAATGTTGTCTTCCCCAAAGCCCTACCTCTTCATGCACACCAGGAAACTTAGCCTCTTCATTCCTCACCTGGAGAAGGCCACTGGTGAGCCTGAGAAATTCCCTCAAGCCCAACACAGATGCCTCCCCCAGGCCTTCTTGAACTGCTCCTAAGTCCATCCTCTACAGAAAATCTCCCATCTCCCAGGGCAACGGGGGTGAGAATGAAATCACTTGTCCCATATGCACTAATATCTCCAAAAGGGCCACTTTATCTTACATGAAATTGTGAGACCAAAGCGACTCCATTTTGCTAAATTCCACTATTCCCCTAGTCTCTCACAAATTAATGGTTAAAATGTGCTTGCTCTGGGACAAAAGATACAATCTGTAATGAAGCAAAGTTCCTGAGTTAATTACTCAGCCATCTGTTTGCCCAGGAAATGAATGTTCCGGGCCCACTATCCATAAAACAATCCGTAGATCTGCTGACCATCAGTACGTGACAGTCGACCACTAACCTTTGTCCCTCTTTTCCCTCGTAAAGCCTACATGTAACCACCCCTCAACCCCCCATGTACCTAGCCAATCAAAAATGTACACTTCATGCTTGCTAATTGTCAACCAATCATGTAACTGCTAAGTGAAAAATCTCCAAACCTTGCTGTAACCTCTGTAAAAACCCCGCTAATTTAAAATTCGGGGCTCTCAATTCTGATCCGCTGCATCGGTGA